TTACTGGGATGATCATTCTTCACTTTCATCTACAACCACAGTTCAAATATGAATTATTTCATATATACTTCACATCATTTCACTCCTCACAGGAAGATAGGAACTCAATTAATTGACCTCGCTCCCAATGTGTGGCTTCATAGCTCAGTTGGTAGAGCATCACACCAGTATTGCGGAGGTCACAGGTTCGAATCCCATTGAAGCCCAGATTTTTTCAGGCTTCTTTCCAATTGCTTAAAATTGGAAAATTTACTGCGATGATCATTCTTCACTTTAATCACTTCTTTGTCAAGTTTTCCCAATTTTAAGGAAAAACTGCTAGAGTTTTTAGTTAAATAACTACTGAACCGGCAAAGCTGCACACTGTTGCACTATTTATGTAACCGTATTGTTACGTACGAGGTGGTCTCAAATAAAAGCCTGATGGTTTCTAGAGGTCACCTCGCCTTGCATTAAAATATTTATAAATACTGCACATTAAGACAAACGGCAAATAAACAGAATGAATGAATGAAAAAATAGAAAAAATGCTTCGTAGATAAAAGAAATCCGTGGCGGGCTAGTATGATATGTAATTTTAATTTGATTTTAGCACCAGTTTACAAAAAATATTGAATCAAAGCTTGCAACATGGAAGCTTTTTTAAATAAAGGAATAAAAGAATGTTATTTAGCCATGCATTTTCCCTGTTATTTTGGAAAAAAAGTGGCAAACCGATTTTACAAAAAAAAAAAATGTGATTTGTGCTGTTTTAGCGTCCTTTTTTCCTAGAATTATATAAGGCCCAAAGGGCCCAAAAATTTTTGGCGACTAAAATACTTGTGCTGGCAACCAAATCTGAAAACTTAGGGGCCAGCTGGCTCCAAGATTTTTTCCTGAAAGTCGAGCTCTGCTTTAATTTGCTTCTAAAAGATTCAACATACATGTAAGAAAAGAAAAAAATCCATCCTTTTGCTTCACTGTATTGAATCTGTGACAATCTGTGGGAAAACTTCCAAATGGCTGACCATGTTCAAAGTCACCCTATGATGCATTAAAAACTCCAGATAATGAGTATATCAAGTATGCCTACAGATTATGTCTCTTGTAATGTGTAGCTCCAGAAAATATCCATACCCCCACCATGGAGGGAATTTCCCACAAGACACCCCCCACCTCCTTGGAATTTCCACTTTCTGAACTCAAACATAACCTCCCTACCCCTTTGGAATTAGGCTTGATTAAGGAAAAGGAGCAAACACTCCTCCCCAAAGCCACAGCTGGATGAATGAGGATTCTTTCGTCAGTCTTAACCAATCAGATAACAACCCGCAGATTTCAGTTTGCCTTTATGAAACACTCGTCAACAACGATCGCCCTCATTAAAGCGGTAGATTCATGACAAATGGCAATTGGCAATACCGAGAAAGTTGTATGTGCTTTTCTCAACCTGAGGAAAGCATTTGACACCATTGATCACAACATCCTACTAAAGAAACTTTCAAAACATCTACATGGAAAGGAGTACGAGTGGTTCAGAAGCTACCTATCAGAGAGATCTCAATAAGTCAGCTGCAACAGAATTGAGTCTGAACAGCAACAAATCACCCATGGAGTCCCCCAATGCTCTGTCTTAGGACCGACCTTATTTAATATACACATAAACGACATATCTAGTGCCTGTGAAAACAGCCAAGTCATTCTTTATGCCGATGACACTGAATTTCATGCAAGTTCCAATGATGTTGGTGCTGCTGAACAGTGTGTTAACGATGATCTTAATCAAGTAAGCGTTTGGTTGCGCAGAAACGGTCTCATCAGCAACCATAAAAAGAGTAAGGCTATGCTAGTTGGATCAAGATATTCGGTAGTTAACACTCGTGACTTACAAGTGAAACTTGACGGAAAGCTGTTGAAACAAAGTGAACATTGCAAATATTTAAGTGTATATATGGACAGTTGCCTAAACTGGAATAAGCAAATTACGTATATTGCATCCAGAGTTTATCCTAAACTCAAAATGTTAAACAGGATCGCACCCTTTCTTAGCCAAAGAGTTCTACTGAACATTTATAAACAAACCATATTACCCATCCTAGATTACGGGTGTATCATATGGGGTGTTTGTGGAAAAAGTAATTCACGACGATTATAGAGACTACAGAATCAGGCCATGCATATTATTCTTGCCGCGAATCACAGAACGTGCTCACAGGATATGCATAACAGGCTATATCTGCCATCCTAAGATAGTAGACGGTGGCTTTTGAAGCTACAATTAGCATTTAAGATCGTACACAATGTTCACTGTCTGCACCAGTTAGAGGGATACCTTGTTAAGAGGTCTGATCTGCATGGAAGAATACTTAGACTCAACACTTCTAAATGTCACACCATCTAAAACGAAAATGGGTCAGTCCACTTTCAAGTGTGACGCTGCACGAAAATGGAACGGATTACCAAGAGAGATCAGAGAATTAAACACTCTTTCTAAGTTTAAAACACATATTTTTAAGCATTTTATGGATCAAGACCGTATCAATC